TGCAAGACCTATAATTTGCTCGTGCAAACATTTAAAATATCTATATTTGATATTTATTCAATATATTTTAGTTTATTTTCAAGGTGAAAATTATGAATAAACTTCAAGCTGCAGCATCACATGCCAAAAGCTGGGAAAGTCTCGAAAATCTTTTTAATTACTTTTATTATTTAAAAGAGCTGTTGCCTTTTTCGAATTATCAACCAACATTTACTTATGAAATGAAATCCGATCGCATTATTTATGTGAATAGTCTGCAGCCCCTTTTCCAACCTTTTGGTCATTTACATACAAATCTACTGAGCAAATTTAACATTCCCATGATTAATTTATCAGTATTTCTTTAAATTTACCCGCATAATAAAGTGACTAAAATGCAGGTCGTCTAAGTAGAAAAGTATCCCCGGAAGCGTCTCTTAAGATATTATCCAGCTTATTTAAGCCTGTGGAGTTTCTCATCTTAAGCTACAAATGCTAAGCGATAAATAAGCGAAATATTTTAGTTATTCGCCGTTTAATATTCAATAGAATTTACTGCGCACAGAAAACAATAAATTGCCTGCATACTTGAACAACTACTCGAATAATTTGCCAAGTATTTGCAACTTGCAAAGTCAGTTTAAAGTCAGTTAAATACGTACAATAATTGAGCTCAAACATAATTTGGGTGGCTTTTGCCAATTATAAGACAGCTATTTAAAGAAACAGATATCATGCACAGTTTAAGAGAAATTTGATAACAAAAGAAAAGCAGGGAAAGATATGTGTGTGTGTGTGCAGCTTGCGGCAAAGACAGGAATTGCAAATTGAGCTACGTATTTCAATAAAATCAATATCACTGAGATATAAATATATGCTATATTATTTACTTGCAGTTGTAAAATGATTTGGCAAAGAAATATGTCTCAATTCGATTCATAATTTAAATATTAAATTCTTATAAGTGAATAAACAGGGTACTTAAACAAATATGCCAATCATTTAATAAATATGAAAATTTATTAAAGTGAAAATAAATACATTGCCAGGCAACACAAACAAAACAATTTATAAATGGTTGTTTTATCGACTTGAGCTTGACGTAAAATAAAACAAAAACAAACAACAGTACAGAAAAATGAATACTGAATTTGCCTCCATTAACATTTGTTTTTTTTACAATTTATTTATTTATTTATACAGATATTTCGAGGCATCTTCCAAATATAATTAATACACAAATAAAAACAAATATATTGTTTTATTAAAGGCATTTAATTTCCCTCCACTTTCAATTGTTTTTAATAACTGATTTGCACAATTATTTATCGCCACAAATCAATTATTTAGCAGTCACAAACTCGATTAAGCAAAAGTGTTTTAATGTATTAAAATTCCCTATTTATTTGTAGTTTATTGCGTTGACTTTGCAGCTTTAAATAAATATATCTGTGCGCATATGGCAGCAAATACTTGTGAATTCCGTTCTTACTTGTAATCACATAAATATTCAATTAAACAGTCAGAATATTAAATGTATTATTTTTAAATTTGTTTTAGCAGCTGCAGTTTTTAATTTATTTAAATATTTGCGCAGCTCAAATTGCATTGCAAAAGCAAGCAAGAAATTTTATGGCGCGCACAAAAGTATGCTATGGAAAAATGTAAAAGTGTCTGCAGGCAACGTAGCACGCTGCCGATGGATTTATTTTTAGAGCATGCTTCATTATGCTGCCACATGTTGTTCATGTTGTTGATTTTCTTGTTGTTGTTATTATTGTTGTAGCTGTTGTTATCGGTGTGTAATTGGCATGAACAATGTTCCTATGATATGCGTGGGTAATGCGGCTCTATTGCGACTGCTCGATTATGGCCTAATCAAATTACATGGCCATAATTCGCATATTCACACATGTAGATATATTTTGGTCTCAGTTTAAGAGGCAATTTGCGTTAAACGTTGATTGAATAAGCGTTAAGCAGAATGACATCAGCTGGCAATCAGGCTATGGACACGTGCGCTGGCCAACTGACTCATCGATTGACTACTTGGCTAAGCTGTGCAGGACTGCTAACACCTGGACACGTATACAGCAAACTGAGCTCGACAGCCACAGCAACAATGTCATGCGAGAGCAATGTGCAGTTACAACAACAACAACAACAATAACTATCGTCATTTAGTGTGCTAATGGCGAACTGTACAGGAAATGCCATTAGCACAGTTTTCCCAGCAAGAAAATGCATTAACGTGCCACGGAAGTTGGCTCAGACGGGCAGCTGGCAAACACATTGTGGCCTTATGACAGCGACTCGTACAGTTAGGTTTATTAGTAGCACATTTATCATAATTAACGCCACGCAGACAGACAAACCGGCAACCCAATATCATCATCTATGCCGATCCTTCCAACTTGCATGCGTGCCCAAGGAGCAAAATTCAAGAGGCCAAAAATTCAGGGACCCATAAAATGCTTGGTATTTCATTGTTAAAGCTGCGCCTGCCAAAAATGCCTGACGACGCGTCGAGGACCAGACGACGACAGCTCATAAAAAATGCTATAGGACACGCACCACAAAAAAAAGCTGCCTACGAGTGTGAAGTACGAGAGAGAAACCGAAGGCAAAAAGGAATAATAATAAAAACAAAGAATTTATACGCACAGCGCCAAATGATTCATGCGGAAATAAAGGCACTCGTGAGTGCTACAAATTTTGTTGCAGCAACCGCAGCCGCAAAATGTGGCCACCAAAAAAAAAAAAACCTTAACTTTGCATTGCTGTTCGCACCTTTTGGGACACGCACAAGGATGAGTCCAGTTTCGGCTCGCTTAATGGATCAAGAAGAAGAAGACCGTATAAAAGACATACAATATTTGTTTGCAGCTGCGGCTGTTGTTGTTGCTGTTGTGCGTATTTTAATTGACACATTGATTGTTTTGCAGCGCGTTTCCATTTGATGCAATTCAAGTTAACTGACATGGGCAGGGGAGGGAGTTGGGGACTGTGGATTGGCATGGAAAGCGGATATGTGCGTGGGTGGCAGGCTGGCGGTGCTGGCAGCACGGCAGGGGCAAGCAGACAAGCAACTGTTGAAGTGTGGCGCCAATGCGTCGACTCACCAACTGAGCGCTCAACAGTTTGTTGCAGAGAGTATCGGCAGGGTAGGGCGGCGAGCGTGAGAGGGGTGCAGGAGGAGGGAGAAACAAGCGAATGTTTCAGCAACATGTTGCCAAAGAAAGTTTTTGCGTGAATGAACACAAGTTTGGTTTGCTTAATAAGCATAAATAAATGTTAATTAACTTTAATTTCAGATAGTTCAACTGAAAACGAGAAGCAGACGGATTTGTGAGTTATTCATGGCTGTTGTAAGAACACAATCTAGAAAAACTAGTTGACATTTGATTAATTGAGGTCAAATTCAATAATTTGTATTTTTGTTAATTAATAGTTTAAAAACATAATATTGCATACATATAATAATATGTATTTTGGTTAATTGCTTGCAATTCAGGATTGTGAATAGCTCTGCATCTGCAACTTTTTGCTTTGTTAAATTAAGTTTCACTTTAATAAGCATAAATAAATGTTAATTAACTTTAATTTCAGATAGTTCAACTGAAAACGAGAAGCAGACGGATTTGTGAGTTATTCATGGCTGTTGTAAGAACACAATCTAGAAAAACTAGTTGACATTTGATTAATTGAGGTCAAATTCAATAATTTGTATTTTTGTTAATTAATAGTTTAAAAACATAATATTGCATACATATAATAATATGTATTTTGGTTAATTGCTTGCAATTCAGGATTGTGAATAGCTCTGCATCTGCAACTTTTTGCTTTGTTAAATTAAGTTTCACTTTAATTATATGAACTTTTGAATATATGACTATGACATTGATAAAATAAAAACAACACAAACAACATCAAAGGAGACATATAATGTCCTTTTCATGCTTATTGATATAATTTGGAACCATAAATAGCATTGTATTTCTGTAGTAAATATGGAAATAGACAAGTGCTTCCTTTATTTCTCATTATTAAAACAACAAACTAATGAGAAATAATTATTAATAAATACCGAACTTCCTAATAGGTGACTAAAACCAATTGTTATATCAAAATGCGTTGTTTAAAAACAAACGCGTCGTGTCTGTTTTTTTTAACATTTGAATCTTTAAAATTAAATATATACTTTTTGACTATATAGTACTCTGAAATATTAAAAAGGAAAGATTTTTTTCTCATTTATTCAATTTAATTTAGATATTATTTTATACACTTTAAAGCAAAGAAGTATTAATAATTTATTATCTTTTATGTTAATAAAAAGGACCAGTTGCAAAGTAAGGCAAGTTTAAGTATATCTTAAATATTATTATATCATATAATATATTAAATCATATGTATTATATCATATACTTTTATTTATATGTATTTTATATTTTAATTGATTCGTAATTTCACAATCTCTTAGCTGTTAATTTCGAAATCTCCCTTCCTTCCCGATCTTTCAAGATCTTCACCCTTCCTCCTCCTTCTCTTGCCTATCGATAGACTAATCTTAATATCTGTTGTTACCCTGGGTATTCCTATAGCTAACATTGCACCTATTACATACTGCTATAATAGTATTATTGAATATCATATATTTATATATAAAATAATATACAATAAAATAAAATAATTGTTCACAGTTATATTTGATGCAGGCGATTCAAAAACCGCTTTTTGCACTTCTTATTTGATTAAATATTGTGCGTCAGCTAAATGAGTTTCGAGCCACTGTGGCGACTGTCAAACTTGTTGCTAAAAACGCGCCAAAATAAAAGCAGCACACACACACGCACACATACACGCACACACAGAACAACAAAAAGTGGGCGACCAAAATGCGCACCGCAGCAGTCAACACTGCAGTCATCGCGATGAGTAATTTTCACCACCCAAAAGAACACCCCAAACCTCCCCCGCCCTCAGACGCTGCCCAGCTGTCAGCAGTGAAAAAAACTCACCTGCGAGGCGCAGGATGCCTGGCCAGATGCTTCTTCTTCTTCAACTACTACTTTGTTTTCCACCTCTTCTTCTGCCAGCCGAAACGGTGGTGAATTGAGCGATTGGCTCGTGCCGCGTGGCTCGTGTCTGCCGAGCACTCGGCCCAAAACAGTTACGACGCGACTAAGGAACGTAACGGACGTGCGAGCGCTTACGAGAAACTCAACGAAAAAGTTTCTGAAATCAAACATACAAATTTTAGAAATGATTACAAAAAGCTGCAAATTTTCGAAAAAATATAAAATAGATTTTTCAAAGCGCTCCTTTCAATTAAATTGATAGTGCTTTTATAAAATGTGTTTATAATTAATTAAATAAAATAATAAAAGTACGAAACGCGTGTTGAGTTTCCTGTTGCGAATGGTTGCTAGAAGATTAGTTCGTCGCCAGCTCTCGAACCCAACGAACGTTCGCAAAAATTGAATTCAATAAGAAGAAAAAACGGATAACTTATCTGGTAAAGAAGCGTAGCTTATAGCTAGATTAATACTTTAACTTAATACCGATAAATGTATATATAAAATATAATACATACTTTGCACGCACTTTTTTATGATTAACTACCAGACTAGCTAGGCCAAAAACTCATTAACCATTTAATTGGCACAGAAACACATTATATTTAGAGGCGTATTTTATAGTTGACAAAGTATATTAGATTATAGTCATGTTTTGTAGAAGAATTCATATTGCCTTTATTTGATTAGTTTCTCAGTCCTCCCGATTATCCCCTTTCACTATCCACTACAACAGATTCCGAATCGAGCTATTGCCATTTAAGTATGCTCAGGCTCTAGCAAACTTCTTAACGTTTTTGCTTCGATTTCTTGCCTGTTTAATTGGTTGGAAGCTGTCTGCAGTTCTCTACTTGAAAGTTTAATTAAACAAAGTTTTTACCTGAAACTTTGCTGGAAAAACATGAAGTGCAAGTTACATAGAACAGATGTTGCTCAACGCACTAATTGCATTTTCCTGTGACGAATCGTACGAAAACTAACCCAAAGCAAATCCTTCAACAGCATGTCAGCCATTGCTATAGTTTTGATTTCTGTTACCGTTTCGAACTATGCACAGAACACGATTGATAAGAGCCTTATCATGTGATATCCACACACACACACACACACAGACACAGACACTCTGGCCACTGATAAGCTTTGTTAGCAGCGATAACAATGGCAAAGAATATATCATTACAAACCCGATCTACTCGATATACGCACATACAATAGTTCTTAACAAATTGTCATGTGATACAAACCCAATTGTCATAACCACATGAAGTTAAGCTTTTTGTTGCATACGCAACGGCGCATTAGATTGTCGATTAGTGAATGGAAACAAGATTAACGTAATCGATGCAATAGTTGGGCTTTTCTCGGTACTGATATCGAATACATTTAACAAATGAAAACTAAATACGCAGTTTACTTATCTAGTTATTACACAGAACAGACATTGAGCTGAAAGGGAATTTATAGTTTTCGCTTGGCAGTTATGAACTGATGAATGGGCTTTGAATCAGCAGACTTCTAGGGAAAATGTAACTTGAATAATATTGTATGTGCTAGAGCAAACTGCAAAGCAACACATATGGTAATTTAAATTTAATTTTTAAATTTAATAATCTTAATAATAAAAATCAATTAAAAGTCAAATGGAATATAGTGAATTTAAATAAAATTTAAAGCATATATTGCAATGGTAATATAATATATACATATATAATCTAATTTGGAGCAGACGAAAATGTGGCTTGAATATTAAATGCGAATCGGACGTTAGATAAGCTGTTTAGGGAATAACACGAATTATTATAGATACATATACTTTTAAATATAATTGTCTAATTTGTGTATCATTCTTTTTTTTAAACAAATAGTATATTTATGCTGAAACTGTGCATTTCGAAAATATCAAATCAAAATGCGTTAGTTACCAATAAGTCAATCATTCAGTTAGTCAGTCAGGACAAACATATATATAGATTTTATACACAGAGATTTATCAATGATGATCTCCTGATTCGCTTATTCTTGTCTTAGTAAATAGTTGTAACTTTTTTTTTATGCTCCATTCCAAATTTTTGCCAACTAAACCAAGATTAAAAATTATGAAAAAAAGGGGCGATCAAAAGAACGTTTGTCCATTAGTTAACGCTGACAAAAATAAAGATTTTAAAACTATTCTCACATACATTAACGATAGTTCAAAATGTTATCCAGATACAGACATTAGTTACTTGGTCTTGGCTACTATTTTATTTTACTTATTTTTTTTTATTATTATTTATTAACCTTGATCTATAGCTAGTATGAAATTGATGCCAATATCAAATGATTGGATAACACAATTGTCATGCTAGTTTTGTGAGGGAAAGTCTTGAGTATTGCGCTCAGCTCTTGTGCATTAGCTATTTCAATTTTTTCATATCCACACAGCTTGCATTACGTTTGTTATTTAATATGCAATATTACGTATACGTCGACGTCATATTGTACGTCAGCACCTATTTTTTTTATTGTTAAATTATTCTATACATGTTCACACATTTGTGATGACATGCACTCATACTCACACTCAAGCTCCCACTCACATTTCCAGACACATACATTGACATTTCATGCACAGCATTTGCTTTGTTTAGGGCCAACATGCATTAAGCCTTCTGGGCAGCTGTCAGCTGTGGGCAACAAGGCCCATTAGCAAACACACCCACACACACACGCACAACCCTTTGAGTCCTGTAAACAAACAACAATAACAATACGCATTAGTTTGGTTTTCATTTGTTGCCAACTAAACAAATACAAACTACATTTGTAGTTGCCTCCGTTGAAAGCCCTTTTCTTGCAATAGCTTCTTTTTAGACTGCCTTGTAATATAGTTTTATTATTTGTAAAGTCTTCTAAATGATTTTGTTGCTAGAGCTAAATAACTTCTAACTTAATTTGTTCCAAATTTCATTTACAGCTGCAGCGCGGCGAGCGGTTGAGCCAGTCAGAGCCAAGTTAATGCTTTGGGTTTAAGCCAAGTCATAAAATGGCCAACGTACAACGAAAAGAAAGCAGCCAAAACGTAACAAATTCAAAATATAAAATTCAATTTATTTAAACTGTATATTGTATCTGTATCTTTCGGTTGCATCTTTTGGTTTTGCTCTCATCTTTAAATACTTTTCGCAACAACAACAATGTTTAACATTCTGTTGCCTGCAACATTCAAAAGAATTATAAATTGAAATCGACGTCGAGTGCAAAGTGTTTACAATCAGCTTCCACCGAGCAGGGCAACAGCTTTTCGCGTTGTTTTCTTTTGCCTTCAGCTTTGAGATGCAACATTTATTTGACAACAATTTAACAGCTTTTTGACCAAGGATAAACATTTCGGATTCTTTGCATTTGTGTTAATCGATATAAAAAGTTGTGGCTGGCTCAAGCTTTTTTTAAGTCTAATATCTTACGAAAAACCAAATAAAACGAAGTCACAAAACTTACGCGCTAATCAAAATTATAAATAAATAAAATAATAATTTAAATTTATAATATAAAATAAAGTAAAACATAAATATATCAACATGGCGATGGAATGGATAACAGCTATGGACAAGCGGTGAGTAAAAAAATAGCTTAAAGTTTAATCTACATTTTTGTACAATAAAAGTTTTCTTGCACAACAAAATTTCAAGTTCAACTTTTCTAGGAAAAAGTATATGGAAGTTTTGTAGGCTAGATTTCCGTTTGCGAGCATCTGTTATTCGCGTTAAATGGAGCGGCAGGCACTCAGTCGAGAGAGAGCATGAGAAAGTAAAAATATGAAAGAGTGGGGAAAAGGGAGAAAGAGAGGGAGCAATAAGAGCTCCAATTGGGAGGATAGACAGTCAAGAGAATATAATAAGTTTGGATAGCGAGACAAACTGTCTTTACTGTCTCTACTGAAAATGATAACAACATTCAGCAATTATTACTGAAATTTATGAAAATCGCAAAGAAAGGCGCTATGAATTAGTCTATAATGAAATAAGTCTATAATGAAATATTTATCAACCTTAAATATTTAAAGTATCTAGTATATATATCTTTTCATAGGGAATGCTACATTTGTTGCTTTTATTTGAAGCAAAAGAACTTTTCAACTGCCACAAAAAGTTGTATTTTTTCACACTTTTTGAGCACTTTTTCCATAAGTTAAAAACTTTTTATTCGATTTGTAGCAGAGCGTGAAATATGATCAACAAATAAATAATGCAGATACGACATACGCTATTTTCAAGTTTCAGCAAAATTAATTTAATTAAAATTTAAAATTCATGTGTTCAAAGCGAACTCTTCAATTTGTCAGCTCATGTTGAATTTTCCACAGAATTTTCTTCTTGTACAACAAATGATGTTTGCTCCACCCGGTCATGCTCGCCATCATTCAGAGAGCAAGTGAAATCCGTGTGTTACATTTAAAATGTTTATATCATGCTCAACATTCATCTGTCAAAAGGCAACAGCTGTGTCCACCATTAAATTGTCCTTCAGCCGGGCAGGCAGGCAGCAGGGGCAGCAGGGGCAACAGCAGCAACAGGCAAATCTTAATCCAAATGCAGGACACGGCTGGCTACAAATTATACGCATTATTAAATTACAATGGCATTTAAAGCTCGATTCTTGGCCGAATGCAATTACAAAGCTGTTGGTCACTTTTTGAAGTGCTTCACCCACTCACAGCCTGGGGCAAGGACCTGCTCTGCTCCTTTCCAGTTGATTAGCGCAGTGAAGCAGCAACAATTGAGAGCTGGCGCATAGCACGAACCGAAATTCGAGAGCTAGAATTTTCAAGGGCCGCACTGAAGCGCAACTTGTGCTCATTACAAGACCAAATAAAGGAGCAAAATGTGTATACAAATAAAGTTGAGAATTTACAATACTTTTTTCGTGGCTCTTTAAAGCAAAGAAAGCCTCATTAGCTCAAGTTGCAAAACGTTTCGGCTGGATTATTTTGAGGTAGCTGCCGCTACTTGAATTTCGGCTGAGCATCGTCCCAAAAATAGCTGCAATAGAAGTCTGTCAAGGGCGTAACGGCTGCCACGCCCACACAATCAATCAGAGCTTGCCCGCCGGCGGCTTAAGTGAACAGCGTACCGTGCATAGAAACCTGCCAAAATTCAACATACAGGGTCAGCTAGCGCAAAAAGGTCAAGAGCAAAGGGCTCTAAGCTAGCACACACACGTGCACACACACACACACACACACACACACACACACACACACACACGAACACACATCACACACACATTCATCAAACTGTTTGGTTTGTGATTTTGCGACGGTTTCTGTATTTCGAGCAAATATTTGCGTTTCCCGCATTTGTTTAGCTCGCTTTTTTGTGTTGCATTTTTTATTTGCACGCTGAGCGAAACAATAAGTACGTACGCTTATGGCTTAAAGCAGATCAAAGAGCTGGGAGTGGGGAGTGATCGACTAAATGTTACCCTCTAATAGAAATGCTTAGATATGCGGCCCAAAAAAAAATACTTTAGCCAGCTTCACGCAATGTTTTGCTATTTCTCAAAATATCTAAATAATTTTGATTGGATGGTAAGCAGAAAAGTTAAGGGCCAAACAGTTTTATCTATGGAGATACATATAAAAATATATAGAAGCTTTATAAAAAGGCATCTGACGGTTCCATTTTATCCCCTCACTGCAGCACAGGGTATAATCACACGAGTTTTTATTGGAATTTTATGCGAAATTGAATGCACTTTGTTCGTTAGCCAACTTAATTTGCATTTTAGCCAAGTAATGTCTGGCAATAAAGCAATGTCAGAGTGCCAAAATTGTCGCACAGCAATTGCCACAGAATAAATGATTTAATTTGGGAGCCAAATTAATGGCAACTGTTCCAAAGTCACGCAGTCAAATCTTTCAGCTCGTAATGCGGTAATGCGGCTTATCAAGTGCGATCCAAGCAGGTTAAAGGCGGCACAGCTCGAGAGCAATCGGGATGGCTCGAGAGCCAGAAAAGCAGCCAAGTTGCCTAGCAATTGATATTGATGATGCTTGGCCAGGGCCGTCGGTTATAGCCTTGTGTGCTCGTGTTGACGCATATTTAGCATACGCCACGTGTGCTGCTGCTGCTGCTGTGTGAAAGCTTTGTGTGTATTTAAATTTGAATTCATTTTATGCCAGTCTAGCATTTTTATTTATTTTTCGGCTCACACAGGACAATTATAAAAAGGCCGCTTTGCATTTGGCAAAAACCACAAAATGCTATTATAATAAACAACAACAGGAGAGCAGGCAGAGCTGCGGGCGTGCCACCTGACACGCTTCCGGCTTGTGCCACAGAGCCCAAACAGTTTTGCCCCATAAAGAATGCTACGTTCTTCCTGCTCACATATAAGTATTATACGGCAGACATGGCACTTAGCCGTGCCGCTGTTTGGTTAACGACAGCAACAACCAGCAACACCCAGTCGCTGAGGGGCCATACACAACATGGCCTATAAATTATGTATGAGTACGGGCAGAGACAACCTCCAGCCACAGCTCCGGCTACAGCTACAGCTCACCTTCAACAGCGGCAAAAGTTGCTCAGCGCAACGCGCCAAAAGTAGACACAACATTATTAAAGTAGAATCCTGACACACACACAATACACTCAGACACACTCATACACACACACACACAGAGCTGGGGCACACTCAGTGAAAGCAGCTTTGTTGATTTTGATTTAGAGCGAAATTTCTCTGGCTTGCATCCGCCTATTTTATGGCATTTTTAATTAACCAAAAAACACAACGATTTTAGTTAACTTGAGTGCCTGTCAGCTTGTTCTTTTACGGTTTCATACATTTTCCATATTAAACAAGTGCAGCTGAGCTCTGAGAGAGCAAAAAACAAATAGCATTAGCTGAAAGCAGCACTTTAACTTTGAATTAAATTTTTGCCAGAGATAAAATTTAGTTTGTGAATGCCTCAAGTTTTTAACGGCAACTTTAGCTTTAAGCTCTACGCGGAGCTTTAATGTACAGTTAAAGCTTAAATTTATTACCAGTAAAAATGTGAAATGAGTTTGTGAATGGGTGAAGTTTTTAACAGTTTGTTTACCTTAAAGCTGCATATGGAGCTTTAATGTGTTGTTAAAGCTGCAGTATATGATCAGTAAATATGAGAAGTCTACAGCTTTTAATTGTAAACATGCTTAAGCTTTAAGCGGAGATTGAATGTAGGTTATAATTTTTGTGCTTGAAAAGCAAAATGAAGCTAAACAGTTTGGCTAGAGAGATATAGTATATTTATACAACAAACAGCGGGATCCAAAGGAATGCTTATAGAGAGTAATCAAGTGCTTTCAAAGCTCTGTTTGGAAGAGAATTAACATTTTTCCGATAATAAAGGGTGGGAGAAAGAGAAAGAGAAAGAAAGAGAGAGAGAGAGAGAGAGAGAGAGAGAAAGGGAAAAAAAGAGAGAGAGAAAGAAAGAGAGAGAGAGAAAGATAAAATCTTACGCTTTAAGCAACAAGTTTATTATATTATTTAAGTAGAGCTTTAATGCGCTTCCAAATCTAGTTAAATATTAGCTATCTCTTGCTAAGCTAATACAAATGTTATTGAATTTGAAAAGTTAAGGGAAAAATTCATACTAAGGGCTATCGAGCCGAGCTTTAATAAAAACTAGCCTCAAGGTACTGTGAAAGCTCATTATACGCAAGTTTTTGAAGCTGTTAAGTGATGCTAACAAATTTTTAAAAGCTCGTTTAAATGCGACATTTTTGAACAACCAGATGACGAAATCATATTTTCGGCTAGTGTCCTTATGATTTTGAGAGTCGTTCTGGTTTTTTGCGAGCGCTACTTAAGACGGCTGTCGAAAAGGCTGCACTGTGGCTTCTCCCAGTGGAGCAAGTGTCCAGCCAGAACTTTGGATATATGATTCCGTGCTGGCGTGCACCCGGCCCAGCCACAAACTGAAGCAGCACAGTGGCCACTCCAGGGAGAGAATTGAAGGATGCCAAAAGAGGAAATACAAAAAAAAAAACAACAACTTGTCCAAAGTTGAACGCTTGGCAATTAGTTTTTGGCTCGGCTCTGCCCGACTTTCCCTTTTTTTCTTCCCTTTAGCAAGAGCTTCCGTTTCCGGCTAGGTGGCTGTTCTTAAAGTATTTATTTATGCATTTTTATCATGTTAAAAATAAAGATATTAAAGAAGAGAGAGAGAGAGAGAGAAGGCGAAAGTTGTATTTGCATATTTAATTCGAGCACAAGCCATGTCCAAATGGCATCCGAATTTTTAATTTCAGCATTGTTGTATTTGTCTGTTTCTTTTTTATTTTCCATTTCCATTTGCATATCACTCGATGGCATTTTTTCATATTTTCCTTTGTCGCTGCGTGCTGGCCTTGTCTGCGCGCAGCTAAAAAAACAAATACAACAACAGCTATGTGAATGGCACTCATTTAAAAACTGCAAATACTCAAACTCATTCGCATGCCTTATGGGCTTTGTCCTTTTTTATTTTTTATATTTCTACTTTTATTAGGTTCTATTGTGCGAACGCGCAGAGCCTGCTGCGATTGATCCACTTTCCAATTTACTTTGAGCTCTTCAACAATTTGGAAATATTTTTATAGTACTCATATTCCAAAAATTACTTGTGTATATTAAGTCAAAATTTTTAAATTGAACGAATTGAGTGGAATTGTGAATGGAAGGAATGGAAATTTTTTAAGTAAAGAAACATTTGAAGCAATAAAATATAAATTTCATTTGAAGTGCAACAATTAAAGAAAAGTCTCGTATTGTTAAGAAAAGAAATAATTGGAAAATGAAAAAAATGAAAATGTAACGGTTGAATAATTCAGTTGACAATTTGGCAATGGTAAAAGCAGTTATTTTATGATACAAGGTGTATATATAAAATAAAAGGCTATAAAATGTAAGAAATATGCGGGACATTTCAGTAAATTTTCAGATGAATAAACTTAGAAAACATGCTAAAGTGAAACTACGATTTGGAGCTTTAGAAGTTGAAACAGTGAAATATGTTGCATTAATTTAAGAAACTGGGAAAAATTAAAAATATTTATGTTTTTTTAAGGATTGTTTGTTTAAGGGATAAATAACACTAGCTAATGACATTATTTAGGATTACATTGAACTGCTATCGAAATTATTAAACTGGCAGCATTCAGCTCTTGTTCATTGAAAAAGTGCTCCATGAGTGCGCGCAAATAAGTAAATAAAAACTTAAATTTATTTGCTTTTGAGGTTGACTTAAATTTGTTTTCTGTTTATATTATTATTTTCTTTGCAGTCCTTGTGATCGTAACCTACGTGATGTGGAACTAATATCCTGTCGTTTGCGTCGCGTGGAGCCGCTGTGTCGCCTGCCAGGGTCAGCCCTGCAGCAGTTGGCCATGTGCGGCTTCTACGAGGACTTGGAGAAGGGCGTCACACGTAAGTGGCATTTTAATATTAACTATGCACTATGCCGGACTATACATATTTAATGGCCATGTTTTATACTCGAATTACATATTTTCTAATACAATTTTCATTCATTTTATTTTCACTTTTACCTTTCCATTTTTTCCATTTTTTGCGTGCAGTTTTTCGCGCCGGGGAACAAGGACGATTTTGGTATGCGGTGCTGGGCGGTTCATTAGAGGTGCGCTACCACGCACATTCCGATGCCGATGGAAAGGTGAGTGCACTCACATAAAATATGAAATATACATGGAACATACATGCACATATTTGGCATGCATGTTGGTACATACAAACATATGTGCCATGGTGTCAGACACTGTCAAGCGCTTTACAAGCGCAACTGCTGTCATGTCATGTGAAAACAATGCATGGTCTGAACAATATAATTGATGGCGATTATATCGGCGGGATACGAGCTGCAGGCTCACAGTCAAGCGGCGCAAAAAATGGTTATTCATGAATAAACTGGCAATGGCAGCGAGCTCTAAGGCTGAGTCTGTGGCTGGGGCCTGTTCAATATGTCGATACGATTGCCAAATGGGTTATGTGGTTGCGGGTGCTCTGTGGGCTTTGGGCTTTGGACTGCGGTTTATGCCCCTGCTGGTTGGCCTTTTATCTGATGCGACAGCAGCAGAGCCTCCCGAAACTGCTGACAGGGCTATTGTGCATGCAGATACTTGGCATGCGCCATAACAATGCTCACAATTTCATTCTTTTTTTTTTCTCATTTTACTTTTATACTATTGTCCTGGCCGCATACAGCCACAGCACATTAATTTCCGCACGGATATTGCCCGGTCGTTTTTACAGGCTGTCGATGCCGTTTTGCTCGCTCTCTGTAGCCGTACGAGTGGATGGTTGTTTTTTTTTTATTTTCCATGGGTACTAGAGTAGGTCCCCTCCAAAAAGGTGTCGGCTAATTGAAATGGGCGCATGGCCAAGCCAAGCAAACTAACTGCCAGTGTGTGTGTGTGTTTTTTTTTATGTGTGGGTGTGCGCCATAGACATTTGAGAATTATGTGCAAGTGGGCCATGAAGGACGTTTGCTGGTAATATGAGCTCTAAGCTAATCAGCGCTGCGGTTGTCATCAGTCCGAAAGTGAGGTAAACTAATTTAGGCAAACCGTTTTTAGTATTTTATGAATTTTGAGAAATTGTTTTCACAATATTTGCAGAGTGTAAAACCACATCTGAGAATTACTCGTAAACTATTTAAAGTGTTTTGATATTCGGAAGCTTTGAGTTTTGTTTAGAAAAAAGGAAACAGCAAACTTTTACCATGCGGACCTGGTTTACTTTATGATTTCCGTTTGAACACAAACTTATTACCAAATTGTTTGAATAACAGTAGAAACATTATTTCCACTGCAGTTAACTTTTAGAATCGAATTGTTATTGCCGAAACAATAATAACTGAGAGCTAATTTAATTACTTAAGTAATTTCAACAGAGATTAGAGTTAAACTTAATATTTTAATATTTCAAGTTTATTATACTATTTTATTATATTAATATTATTATATTATATAAATTATAATTCATTGTTCTGATTATATTTGGCGACCTTTCCATTTTTAAATATTTTCGCTAGCTCCAGGGGCTGGCTTGTTAAGGTTTAATAAGTTGAAACCAATTTCGTTTTAATATTTATTCTATTTCAATATTAAACTATTTTTTCGACATTCAACCAAGGCAAACGGGATTTTAATATTTGTTTTTCATACTTCAATAACCATTTTAATTTAAATAATGATGTCTCAAACGCAAAATGCATTTAAATAAAATCTAACAACCCAATTAATCCGTAGACCTGGGGCTAAGACATCACCGTGTTTATGCAGGAAATACGGAGCCGCAAACTCGTTAAAATTAATTGGATTAAATCGGAGTGCCCATTTGACTTTTCCATTTTCAAAAGTAAATAAAATACAATATGGAAAGCTTCCAAAATAAACCTCAGCCTGTGCTAAACAGCCTACAATCAGTGTCCCCCGAACAGGCGTTTTATGACCTAATTCCTTACACGTATTTGCATAATTTTTCACTTGATTTATTTAGGCAGAAACATTAGAAAAATTTTGCCACTGGCGAACGCTCTAAATTACAGGCCCATAAATTATGCATATTTACAAAGCCTCTAGGCCATTTTCGGTCCACCGAAGAAAGAGCAGCAGAAAGAAACTGTATTTGACACTTTATAAAAAAAAAGTAGTAGAAAGAAGCAGCAGCTGTGGCAGCAGCAGTAAAACAAGGTAAATTTAATGAATGAGCGGCGCGCGTTGAAGTTGATGTATTTGTAGATGGAAGAGCGTGTGGCGTGCGACACGCAAAACCCAATTTTCAGTTCACATTTGGGGAAAAGGCAAAAAAAATTGTAAGAGACAAGCTAAATTTAAAAGCTAGGGAAAAGCCAAAATAACAAGAAGAAGGGCTAGCTGCATCACGCCGAAGATAAAATACTCTGGTACACATTTTTCTATTTCCGATTATATCCATCGGAGCTATATGATATGGTAGACCTGTTGGAAACGGACTTTCAGTTATCTTAGGAGAATAGAGAAGCAGATATAAGAGACTTATTGTTAAACATATAATAATAATAATACATATAAAACATCAGATTAATAATAGACTATTCTGGATACAAGTAAGCAAACGGCAGACAGAGAGACGGACAGACCGAAATCGAAATAAGTAGACATTCAGACAGACGAAAGCCAATTAGATATTGATATCGATCAAGATTATTTATGCGTTGCACATCTCATAACAAAACTAAAATACCGCCGACAAGAGTATAAGAGCCAAGCACAACAAACAAACAAAAGGGGAATCCGAGAGCGTTGAGACCCTATCAATAGCCACACAATTAATTTCAAGTGCTGCGGGGCAGGGTGGTGGGGCGGTTGGGTGGCGGGGCAATGGAATTCATCAAAAAATAGACAAAATAAAGGAAAATAAAAAAAATGTATGTGCGACTTGCAGCGGCCATTTGGTGTGAGTTCCGCTCAACCGGATTTCCAGTCAGCACAGCTCACGTGACAAGGCAATGGGGCCGAGCGTGGTGGTGCAGTGCGAGGTGTGGAAGGGGGAAGGGAGGTGGCTGTGGTGTTGTTCCTGCTGCTGATGACTTGAACTCACGTCATAGCTGTGGGGCAAGTAGCTAATTTTGATCAAAAATGAAATACGAGCAGCGCTTGGCAACAGATACAAATTGCAATCCATTTATATAACGTCTCACTTTGACTTCTCTAGTCGAGGGCGGCCAAAGGAAGGCGTGGGCGTCGCCCAAGAGCAGAAAAACTAATTATGTGCACCTGTAAGCCGTTATAATTGAATAACATGCAAGTGCAATGGCCATCAGCTCTAAGCGCGCCCTTCAACTATGTTGCTCAAGATGTATCTTGTATCTTGTATCTGCTAGTGGTACCTCCAAGTTCGTCTGGGATTACACAATTAATCTTTGGTGCTTGTTGTTGCTGTTGTTGTGTTGACTCCAATTAAAATTATGTTATAATTATAGTCGGCGCGCCTGGGCATCAAATTAGTTGCGCTTGCGATGTGTTTTTCCTAAACTCATCAAAACTAATGAAAATATATAGAAAATTTTGTTAACCCACATATAATTAGACGATCATTAGCCTGACAGGCAACCCAGTTACTTCCTCCATTAAACATGCCCATTGATGGCCACTCAGCACGAGCTGCACATCAACATTTTCAAGTTCAAATACTTTGAACGTAGGTGTTTCGAACTTGGCAGCTTTACGAGCTTCCTATGGTGAAAGCATAACAAAAAAAAACAACAACAAAAAATGTCAACGACAGCGTTTTGTGGGCGATTCAGTTCAATAACTGGAGAGAAATGCTGGCGGTTTTACACATCAAATGCAAGCAGTCAAATTCAATGAGAACTTTTTTTTTGTTTTGGTCTAGTATGTGGAGTAAGCCGAAAACCCCATTTAAATATTGCAGCTTTCAGCGCGCAATTTCCGTCTCTGACTAAAGCCGGAAGCATTCCACTTTTGGCCAAAGTACAAAAAAAAAAAAAATAACCGCCTGCCACAATGGCCAAGACAACAACAAAACAACATAAAAAGATACAAAGATACATACACACACAGATACTTTGGCCTCTTTAGGCGCAAACAGCATTCTGTCTGGCCCCATTTGGTGAGATCTTTAATTAGTTAATAAGTGTTGCTCTGCGAGCTGTTGCTTAGCCAGGTTGGTCAGTTTTATGGCCAACATTTGCATACGCCGCTGCCATATTGAGAAAACCAGTAACTCGGCATTTACTTCTAATCAAAATCAGAATCACAATGGCAGCAACAACAAATCAAAAAGTTATTTACAGCTAGAGGGAACATCAATCGTTAGTCGTCAATCAGTTCGTTAGTGGTTAACAGTGAGAAGTAGCTGGCAATTTCCTTTCGGTCTATCTAATCATTTGCTTTAATTAAACACACATTTACACACTAACTAACTGACAATTAAGAGCTGTGCAAATACTCTATGTCGCTGCCAGCTGGCTATCCAGCTGATGAGCTTGTCAGACGCAATCAAACACAGCTAAAGGAAGAGTGCACAAGAATCTATTGACTTGTTTATGGTGCAATGACACCAGCTGAACCCACTTCATTTCAAGATTAAGCATATTTGGCAGTTGGTAAAAACTGTAAAGCTTTAAGAGTCAAGCAATTAAGTAAAGAGCTTTTATACAGGCTTTTTAAATTAACCTTAAAGATTCAAGAAAGTTAAAAGAAAGAACATAAAGCTTCGCTAAAAATTAAAGCTACATTTGCTCCCTGCATTAATTAATAAAAAGCACACTTAAGCGTTAAAAGCTTATCTTATTTAGTCAATGATTTGAACTTTATTTAAAGCATAGGCACCTATAAAAGCTCAATTCAAATTGCAATTAATTTATTTGATTAAAAAGGTTTATGCACAGCTTTAAGTAAGAATTCTGAATGCATAGAATTGAATAGAATATTATGCTAACTAACTGACCTTACCTTATTTGAAATCTCATTAAAGCTTTAGGTGCATAAGGAGTTGACTAATTATGGACTTAATAATTCGCTTTAAACCTAAAAATCATTAGTTCTTTGAAGCTGAAAAGTAAACTGAGATTAAGCTAAAGCTTATAGAATTCGTTTCTATCCGGCTTTAAAAGCACGTTATCAAGTCAAATTAATTACTAAAAAGAAT